TATATAAAATTTATTTATATAAATATATATTAATTAATATAATAATATTACTATTATTTTAGATTTAAGATACAAGTTGAAATTGTATGAGTATTTTTTTTTTAAGTTTTATGATAATTTATCTTTAATTAAAATTAATAATATCAAGAAATTATGCTACTTATTATTTGAAGAATATCAAACTAAAGCTAAAGAAATAGTGAAAAACTCAACTTCACGAGTAAATGTTAATGAGTCAAACTTGGGTAATCTAAAATGTTAGTAATTTTCTTAGTGATTATGATTTATTTATGAATGATACAATTGAAACATAAAGTCTGAAATAGAGTTCTACTTGAAAGAAAATGTTTTGTCTAAAGTATTACTTTTGACATTCTTGGTTGATGAAAAAAAAATGGATCAAGTATCCAATTTTGAAAAAAAAAATTTAAGGATGTTTTGATAATTTGAATTTCAACCATAATTTCAGAATCTCATTTATCATAGGAGGTAGATTTTTGAATCTTCATCATTCTAGGCTCCATAAATTTACTCTGAAGGCACTTATGTGTCCACAAAGCTAGTTGAAACACAAGTAACAAGGTAATAAATAATTAAACTTTGCTTATTTAATAAAAGTTATTTTATTTTTTATTGTTGGTTTTAATTATTAATTTAAATTTTCTGATCATTCATTTTTTTTATCATATAGTTTATATTAGTATTACCGAACCAAAATAATATATAGACTTGGAAGACAAACATTTGCAAAAATATGAAGAAGTTGATTTTGATGATGAGGTCAAATGTCTACATACTTATTTTTTAAAATTTATAATATATAATTTAATCTATAATTTAATCTAATTAATTTCTATATATTTTTTTTTACAAATTTCGGGAAATATTGTTAATACATGATCATAATGTTGGAAGTCTAATTATAACTTTTATTATATTGATTTAAAAAAATTTTTACAAGAATTGAATATTTTTTAATATTTATTTATAAGAATTGTTATATTAGATTTTTATAATGTTAAAGACCTGATAAATTAATATTATATTTGTTTGTGTGAAACATTATCTCTTTATTGATTTATTTACTTTATATATAAGTACCAAACGGGTACAAAAATGGTATTTAAATTGTTACCCATGCTAAGTACGGATATTGTTTTTAAACCTAAGTATGAGAACAAGTATTATAGATCCTAACCCAAATTTTATCCATTATCATTCCTAATCTCTCTGTAAACAAGACAATGAGATAAAAGGTAGAAGAAGATCACCTTGTTTGATACCTCTAGATGGTTTAAATTCCTCCAAAACTTCAGTATTCCACAGCATACACATAGAGGGAGCAGAAACCAAATCAACAAAAATTTGCTTTAAGAAAGGTGTTAAAAAGAGTGTCGTGTGTATTATGCTTGAATTAATTGATTTGATGACAAAAAGGAAACAAATTTTTGAATTTTTTTTTTTTTAAAAAAGTTGTTACTATATCCCCATAGAAATTGAAAAGGTTTTGGTACCTTCACTTATGTTAGGATGACCAATAAACTTTAAAATAAAATTAAAGAACAAACAACCAAAAACTTAAAAGAATACGCAAAAATTAATGACAATTACAGATAATTTTAAAAATATGAATAAAATACATGAATTAATGATAGAAAAAATTGATAAAAACATAATACCAATACTTGAAATTGTAAATAAAATTGTAGATTTTACCTACAATAAGAGAGAAAAAGAATTAGAAGAAATTAATAATATCAAACAAACGTTCAAAAATACTAGTCACACAAGAAAAAATATAAATAAAAACAAAATTGAGAAAATATATGAAGTATTACATTTACAACAATTATATAGAATGGAAATAGATCGATTAAATCATTTTATAATAATATAAAAATATAGAAAAACATTAAAAAAAATAATACAAAAATATAGAAAATATTATTAAGATAAATTATTAAAAATATTCAATTAAGATGAAAGTGACAACAAGAGTAACACGCCTGACTTCCGGTACCCATCAATTAAGTAGGGGTACGGTAGAATTTTCCTTAAAACAATTAGAAACTTTAAATGTGGGCTACTTGTCAAATCCTGAATTAAGAATTGTCTTTAGCATTTAAAAAATTGGCGGAGTGTTTCATTTATAAATCTGAGATGATTGTTTTATTATCCGCAAATACATCACGGCTGTTTAGAAAAGAACATGGAAGCGAAGAATTTGGAGGGGGGAAAAAACATAGCATACTTTTATTTCTTCGGAGTTCTGATGATATTATTTATAGTTTGACTATGACTATAGCCCACTCACGATCAGACTTGCAGATGCATGCATGGATATAATAATACACTTTCCGGAATGTCAAAAGCATAGAATTAAGCATTACAAAAATATCTCTAGTCAAAGGGGAAGAGGACATCCAACATCTTATTTCTGCAAATTGTACACTTTTCCTTTGTGAATTAATTTCCGAAGAGCAGCTTTAGCTTCTTCCAATGTTTCTACACTCTGTCCTTCATCAAATGATATCCTCTGAATGTTGAACTGAAAACAACACATTTAATGATATGATATACAGAAGCAACAAATATTAGAAAATTAATCTAACTATTGTCAGAAAAGCATACCTGGGCACCTTGACGGACCCTAATATCAGTCCCTTTGCTATCTATAGATATGAGTGCAGCGTCATCTACCTCAGTCTCATTAGATAGAAGTTTCTTTAGGGGCTTTGAGAAGATAGCATTCAGTTCCTATTATTTCAAACATGAAACCAAGCAAATATGTCATATAATTCTACGGCAGGTTTACATAATCGTATCAACTATTATCCTTATGATACAAATTTATTGGAAAAGATTTGGCTGAAACAACCAGACTCAAACTTCATTTCAAATTTAACTTCATAAGTAGGACGTAGGAAAATTACATTAATCTACCCTTAGGGGGCTTTATTGAGTAGAAGGGTCAACTAGGAACCCCACAAAACCAACCACCGTCAAGACATTGAATGTGCTACTGGTTATACATCCATCTCCTGCTACTAGGCCGAAAAAATTAGAATGCCCCATCCAAATTTCAAACCCATCCCATAAATTTCTTCTTCGACGTGGAGAAAAGAGAAACAATTTATGAGCATAAAAAATTGTTCAAAAAAAAAAAGTTGTTTACTTTTGCCTAGACAAGTTAGATATTATTTTCTTTAACTTCTTGAGTAGAGTGAGAAATCAGAAAATTCACCTTTAAATACTGCTCACCACCATCAGCTGCAATCTTATCAGGTTGAAGGGTTTCATATTCCTTTACATCCAGCCAAGCAACAGTACCAAAGCCTCCAATGAAATATATGTCACTGCCAATAATGAAAAACTGATTAAATTATTTATGCAGATTGATAATGATTGTACCAAACAATAAGATCAAGAATTTAATTTCCAAATTCTTCATTGATTCTATTGTTCATGAGCACTATAGTATTTATTAAGGAACTATATTTTTTATGAAAATGTCAAATGGATACAAAAGACCTGCCCATGTTCTTGATGCTTCACCAAACAGCCAATATATGATTGTTTTGTAATTCAACAGGAAAAACTAGTTCTCTTGTCAAAGTCTGGGATATTGGGTTTCTTAACTAATAAACATTTATAAACCAGGCCTAGGTAAAACACCCCAAAAATACACAAGTTTGCACAAAAAATGATATCTTCAATACAATCAGCTTGGCAGCAGCTGCTTATGTGTGTGAGAAAGAGTGTCCAGGCAACATAACAACTCATTTGCTATGTGAGTGTGAGAGGAACAAATACTAACCATCGAATCTTATAATGAACGATCAATATTAAAACTCAATAGTCTTGTGATTTTTTTTAACTTCATATGACTTTTAAGCGATCATGTGATTTAAAAGTAGTTTTAATCATCTATGTATTAATGTATAGTTGTATAATCAAATTTTACTCCTCTCACTCGAAAATAATCTGACTAGATACGTCCCATATTTATATAGCTGGAAGAAGCCAACCTTATATTCTGCATCCTAAAATAGTAGAAGTTGCCCCACTGTTGAGAAGGACCCTGTTGATGTTTCGCAATATACTGCTTATGAGCCCATTCCTGTTGATGCAAATAAACAAATAGATATCATGATATGTACAAATAAACCTCTGAATCAGAAGTATCTCCATATGAATAATTAAAGATACAAACAAGTGCACATTTGCTGAACCACAAAAACAAATTAGTCTGCAAACAACCTGTTGATCTTCTGGAAGTGGATAGACATCCCCAAAAATAGTTACCCTTGCATTGGACAAGCCACTCCATCCAGGAATCTAAGAAATATAAGTATCAATAAAACCCAAAATGGAGAAAAAACAGGAATCAGAAATCTAAAAGCTTAGATAGGAAAAGTCAAATTGCAAACCTGAACAACCACTGTGCATCTTGGGTCAGCCAACAAATTCCTTGTGTGAATTGCGAGAGGAGAAAATGAAAATATTGGATCTACAAATCAATAATATAAGGCATGAGTTATAGATAAACACTACAAACAAAAAAGCAAACCATAAATGTTCCACAATTCACACTGGTCTATAATTCCATATCCTACCCAAAAAGGTAAAGATCAGCATGAGAGTTGAGGCAGACAACAGAAATGAATCAAAGAGAACTGTATAACACAAGAATCTTGAGGTGGACTGTGAATGCTTTATGTATTCTTTATGTTTATGTAGTATCAATAATTGTCAATTAGATTGCAGTATTCAGTAATTCATGCCCATGTTCCAACTAAAGCACGAACATGAAACACATCTCCCCACAAGCTATTACTCATAGCACATATTTATGCTAGAAAAAAGGAAGATGGGATAAATGTAGGTGATGAGCTGTGTATGTAAGAAAGGTGAAGCGGCAGGGGAATTGGAGAAAGTGGAAGATGCCAAGGGAAGAGTCCAGTATGAGCATGGATGAAAAGAACTAGACCAGCTGGTTTAACTAAAATAATCAATGATCAGTCATGTGTCTAATCCATTCAAACCAAATAACTGATCAGAAAGTCAGTAGTTATGAACTGATTGCTTTCATTTATTTTTTTAATTGAACCTAAAATATATTTTTAGCCAAATAAAGGTCAAGTGCCAACACATAAAGGCCATGTTTTCAATATTACTTTTTATCTTGCAAAACATATAATACAAGCATTTTAAGCTAATTTAAAATTTGATCTATATTATGGTTTTATGATAGTTTTATAGTTTATTACTTAATGTGTTATATAATATTAAATATATTGAATTATAAACATTTCAAGCAAATCGGACCAACAAATTCCTTCAATGAGTCATGTCTGGTATGGTTTTTAAAACATTGAATAGAAGAGAGTGGGAAGGCTGTAACAACACGGGTATTTGTCACAAGTTGAGTGGCGGTACGTGAACTGTGGGCCAGGAGGTAAAGAGGAGAAAGGAAGAGTTCAAGAGATGTGTAAGACTTGAGTGAGGTGGAAAGGCTTGGGTGGGATGAAGTATTATGTTCAGCTTCACTATCTCTATAGTTATCTTACTGTTTGATTCTACATTTTAGTATTTTAACATAGGACTACCTCTGTTCATAAGGTTCTTGGTCTCCCTATTGTCTATCCTAATTTCCAGTTACTAACTATCATATTCTCACTCTTTTTCTCAGCAAGGATCAAAACTAGATTGGAATCATCTGCATTGCAAGCCCAATTTACAACAATGTAATTATCTCTATCCCATCAACTTGGCTGAGTCCACCAAATGCTTATAATCATGATTCTTACATATATGGTGGTACCTTGGAGCAGAACTCCCAACATATTCTCCTATTTAAGCCATGGACAAATAACTAGGTACTGATATCCAAAATGCATCAAATATTCATGAGACTGAATGGAAGTAATCTATCAAGCAGATGAAGAATTATTGACTTACGACCCATTGAGTCTGGTGCAAAATCAACAAGAGAACCAAATGGATATCCTTCTCGCCGGTGATGCATTCGGGACATTACAGTGCACAAATGAGCAAATCTCGCCTTCAATTAAAGAAACAAAATCCAATTGAAAATTAATAAAAGGGAATCCGTGAATGTAATTGCACTAGATTCAGTTCTACAGTTGAATATACAATACTTCATTCAAAGTTTTCCCAGAAACACCAGCAGCAGCTTACCTGCTCCATCAAATTCCGAACTGCTAAAGCGGGCCTAGGTAAACCATGAGCCGAGGTCGCACTCTGCACACCACCCGAAATTGGTGTTCTGAAAAGCCCAGCCCTGGTGCCACCACCGGATCCACTTCCACCTGGGGTTGTGATAGTTGACCATAACATGTCCCCTTGTGACGGCTCATTTTGATCTTCTTCGGAACCCTCAGAATGGCTTAAATTTTCCTTCAGAACGAAAACACACCCAACTATGTCAAAAGTCAGTATTAACTTATCTGTTGATTACGCATAAGAACAAAAAGAAACGACCAATCAATTGCCCTATTGTTATGAAATTCCCATGAACTGCAAAGTAAAAACATGGCACTCAAAGAGAGGTATAATCAGAATATTGACATACTGCACCACCTCCAACATAAGACACAAAAGCTATGAGTATTGAGTATCATGATCTTAAATTCAATAGGGTATAATAATAACATGCTACACATAATAGAGTTTGAGGGAGAGTGGTATAATCAGAATATTGACATAGTGCACCACCTCCAATTCCAAACTCTAAACATAAAAATAATATTTTTATTTGACTTTATGGTGTGCGAGTCTACCCAGAAATTATTAAAGCGAGCAATGAATAAAGGGCATTGAGAGAGAGAGAGAAAGAACCTGAGGTTGAGAAGCTAAAACGAAGTCATTGGTGCCTTCATCACCCTCGGCGTTAGGGAGAGCAGAAAGACGAAGGGGAGGAAAGTGTGAGTGAGAGTGTTGGGTAAATTTGAGGAAACGAAGTGTGGGTGCTCTGACAGAGAAAGAAGAAGGGTTGCGAAGAAGCGAACAAGAGTCGGGGATGATCGAAAGTGCTTCCATAGAAGCAAAAAGGTGAGATTTTTGGGTGGGTTTTGGGAATGTAATTAAAGTATTAGCGTATAGAGAGATTGGTGGCGCCAGCTAAGAGAATATATGCATTACAATTACAAAACATCGTTCCTTTTGATTCCAAATTGCTTCGTTTTGCTAAGATTGGTGACTCAGAGTCTGTGGGTGGAATGAGATTCAGATTGTGACGCTTTTTCTTAACTCCAATACCACTTTCCAACCCTGCCTTTCGATTGCAAGTTGCAACAATATATTTTACCACACTAATTTATAAACATGTCATTTTCATCCTATTATAAACCTTAAACCCTAATTATAAATATCGGTACCAAAATATCCCTAATTATAAACACATGCCTATCGGTTTTTTATTATTAGTAAAATAGTTTTACGCCGGACAACCGATAAGATATAATTACTTATATCATTTTTATTTATTTGTCCTTATTTATAAAATTCTTTTAAATAAATTATATTTTAAGAAAAATTGTTAACTTAATTAATAGTATTAAATAGACGTATTTGATTGAAAAAAAAGTCTTCGATCCAAAAAAATATTCAATTAATATTATTAAAGTTTTTATAAGAATATATCAAAATCTAAAAATATTTGATTAAGATAATTAAGATTCTTTTATAAATACATTAAAATCTGATATATTTAATTAAGATTTTTTTTCACCTGAAAAAATCAATAGCATTTGATTTGTTGTTAATAATATTTCTAAAAATATTGTTTCTTGATAATGATTTTTGCATATAATTTTTTAAGAAATATTCTCATCAGTGGGGTGGGAAACTAATCTTTTATAAAAATAATATATATTACTTTTATTTATTTATTTAATGCAGTAGAAAAATATTTAATTCTTGAATAAAATTTATAAACATTTTTAAAAAAATTTATAATCGACCAAACAAATTTTCATAATGAATCATGATTTTCAAGATTTGTGATTTTTATAAATATTTTCATAAACGAAAAAAAAATTATGTACTAAATGTATTTTTAAACTATCATTCTTTATTTCACCTAATTAATTAATATTTAAAAATAAAATAATGAAATACTAAAAAAAAAAAAGAGATGTTGTTATTTTTTCAATCCTAATTAAAAAGAAAAATATTTTATTCAATTAATTTTAATTATCTATTTTTTTATCTAACATAATTATTAATTAAGTAAAAGTATTTTAGAAATAAATAACTTATGCAATTGACAATTAGATATTAATACATCACATATTTTTTCTTATATATATAATTCTTTCTTTAACATTAATTTTTACCTCTTTTTTTATCACATCACCCATCCCATTTTTCTTTTATTTCTATATTTCTTTTTTTTTTAATCCTAAATATTGTTTTATCTCCCTAACCTAACTTGACATGATTGTACTTTTGAAGTCTCCGAGTTTTAAAATTTAAATTCAATGTATTTTGAAGAGAAGGTTGTGTTATATTCAAATGGCTTCAGACCAATCAAATTTACTTAATTTTTTTTAGAAAGTATATATTGTTAAATAATAGTGAATTAGTAAAAACAAATTATGGACTTGGAGGATAAATTTTGTATTACATAATATTATATTTATATTAAGAGAAAATAGATTATGTACTTGCAATATAAATTACTATACATTTATATAATAAATTTGTTAATTTTTATGATGATTATTTTAAAGGTTATATCAATAATAATTTTTAATTGATTAATTGTGTAAAATAAATTATACTACAATGTAACTATTAAACTTTTATATTAATATTATTTGTGTTAATCAAAATTAGGTTTAAAGTTTCTTTATTTACTTCTTTTAAAAGCTTTAATCAAAATTATATTTTAAAATTATAATATTTATGTAATTCAAAAAAGAAACTACTTTTAAAAAGTTGTTTTAATATTTTTTCTAAAAAAAAGTAATTTTTTTAAAAAAGTATTTTTTTTATAACAATATTAATTGTATGAAATATATTCACTGACTTTTTATGATTAATTTTAGTAAAATAAACTATAGCTGATATTTTTAATGGGATCCTCTTTCATAATAATAATAATAATAAAGAATTGATTTCTACATTCAAACAAATCGTTTTAGTTAAGTATTTTAGTTTTGTAATTTGTATAGAGATGAACTTAAAAAGGGTTAGTGTGACGTAGCAAGTTGGTGTTTTAGAAGCCCAGAACGGGTCGTTTCTAATCTGGAACGGGCCGTTCCAAGCTATTAAAATGGACAGTAAATCGTAGCTGAGAACAGGCCGTTCTGGAGGGAGAACGGGCCGTTCTGGAAGGGAGTACGGGCCGTTCTGGTTGAAGAACGGGCCGTTCCGGTTTTGGTACAGGCCGTTCTAGCCACTCCGGAATGTCTATAAATAGGGGCTGTGGGCAGTTGAGGGGAGGAGGTTTTTTAGAGAGAAGGGCTCTGGATTGGAAAGCTAACTTTTGAAGGATTGAAGTTCCGAGCTGAGCTTCAAAAAAGGGATTCCGCTTTTTGGCTATTCTGATCCAATCTTCAGGTAAGGGAAGCTAGTTGAAGTTAAGTTGATAAGTTACTATAGGTGTGAACATGTTTATGTTGTAAAGTGGTTGATTATGCTGATTAATGTTGTTAATGTTGTATGATGAAAAGTCGAGTTGTGAAGTATGTTGTTTATGCTGTTAATGATGTAACGCTGAGTCATACTGTATGATGCTAATGCTGAATTTCGTTGTTGAGCTGATTAATGATGAGTTGTGTTGTGGAAATGTTCATGCTGAATCATGATATTTAAGTCGTTTTGTATAATATTGAGCTGTTTTGATGAAAACGGGTTTTTGGGGTTTCCGGGGTTTTGATGAAAATCATGAGGTTTTCTTGATGGTGATTGCATGTGTAAAAAGAGGTGGTTTTTGAACTCTTGAATGAAAATGTAGTATATTGGATGGATTGCATGTGGAGTTTCCTAGTTATTTTGCAAGTTTTGATGAGATTTTCGAAAGTATGGGGTTTGCTGCTGAGCTCGCGCTGAGCGCAGTTCTTCGCCTCGGGCGCGTGGCCACCTGAGGGCAGCATTTAGGCAAGCCGCCGAGCGCAAAGATGTGTGCACCGGGCGTGCTTGAGGATGTTAGCCTCTAGATGGCCCACATTGGGCGGGACTTGAACCGCGCCAGGCGCGATATTAGTTGTGGCTTGTTTTTGGGCTTCTGGCATGGCGCTGAGCGCGATCTTGGTCGTGCTGGGCGCGGGGACTCCTTGGAGTCTCTGCCATGGGGGCGTCGGGCGCAATTCAAATTGCGCTGGGCGCGAGACCAAGGGAGGTCTCTGCCTTCCCCACGCTGGGCGTGGGTTTGGGCACACTGGGCGCGGGAGACTCCATGGAGTCTCTGTCTGGCATACGCTGGGCGCAATTGGTATTGCGCCAGGCGCGAGTGAGCCTTGGGCTCTCTGGCTAGGTCCCGCCGGGCGCGGGCATGCTTGCGCTGGGCACGTTGACCCCCTGGTGCTCTCTGGTTGTACCGCGCTGAGCGCAACCACGAGGGCGCTGGGCGCGGAGATGAGATTTTACTATGTGCTGGTTAATGCTGTTTTATGTTGAGTTGAATTGAAATGGATGAATATGATGTGATGACTAGTAGATAATGTTGTTGATGATGTTGAGCTGTATCAGATGAATATTGTTGCAAGATGTGTTGATGTGTTGTAAGATGATGTGTTGTGCTGTAAAGTTGTGTTGTGTTGTATGTTGGCTGAGATGTTGTAGGCCGTGATGACTGAGTTATTGTAGGCTGTAATGGCTGAGTTGTTGTAGGCCGAAAGGCTGAGTTGTTGTAGGCCGTAATGGCTGAGTTGTTGTAGGCCGTAATGGTTGAGTTGTTGTAGGCTGAAAGGCTGAGTTGTTGTAGGCCGAAAGGCTGAGTTGTTGTAGGCCGTAAGGCTGAGTTGTTGTAGGAGATCTTTGAGTTGATATGCGTGACGACGCATTGTGTGCTTATTGCTGATTATGTTGTACAACCGATGAGACGTATGCTGACGTAGTGTTGATAGTTGTAGTTGACATATTACTTAAATTTTGCTATATGTTGTTCTTTTGATACTAGCTTACCCTTGTTGTTTCCATGTGGTTTGGACTGCGATGATCATACTATGTATGGGAGCAGAGCAGGGATAGGTGGGTGGCTAGTGGTGAGTCTGCAACTGGCAGGCGAAGCTGACTTTAGTTGATGTTTTGTTGTTTCAGCTACTTGGTGTAGTAGTTTGGTTGTATTTTTTGTACATTTTGAATCTAATCAGATTTGGACCATGTATATATGTATATTCTAGACACTATATGTATGCACTTGTTCCTTTCTGTCCGGTTTTCAGGTGTACTGTATTGTGTGTAGTGACTAGCCAGGTCGTTACAGTTAGTGTGGAAACATGCTCTATTTATTGGGTTATATTATTATATTAATTTGTTTTACAAGTTTTAACTTTTTTTATATAATTCATCACAATTGTATATGTTTACTTATTTATTTTTGTTGTTGTAATAGAATTTCGTATTTAACGAAAAAACTCATTCATTCCTTTTCTCCTTATAACACATGTGATATCTTTCTAATTGATAATCATACATAACTTTTCTCATTTCCTATTATTAGTATTTAATTTATACTATATGCACAATGCATACAATAAAACAATATTTTTTTATTATAATCAAACATAAATATATATATATAAAAAAATTTATGCATTTAATTTCAAATATCAACATTGATATCACATTAATTACTTATATTAAAGTATATACATGCATATACATATTTTCATTCATATACTATCAATATGTGAAATAAAATATATATTTTTGGGTACATCAATTAAATATATTTTACAATTTATTAATAATTAATGTTCTTTTATTTGTAGCTCATTTTACATATTTTAAAAATTAATTAGAAAAAAATAAAAAGTTGAAAAGTTGAAAGTATATGATAAATTTTGAAAGTATAGTTCAAAATTGGTGAGTTGAAAAGGTTTTTAGAAGTAAGGCTTTGAAAAGACATGACATATGGGTGATCAAAAGCTCAAATTTTTTTTTTAAACATGTACAAGATAAAGTTTTGAAAAAACTTGAGATGGAAGGCAAAAACTCTCTCTATAGTTGATAGAGAAATGTTAATCAAGTTTGTGGCCCTGTCCATTTCCCACCTTTGTAATGTAAAGTTTTTTATAGGAAAAAAAATGAGAAAGGAAAAACCATGACTACAAAATTCTATTGGGAAGATGATGAAAATTAGTAGAGAAGTGGTTGTAGTCTCTCGGTCTCTATTAAGCCCCCTATTTTCTTCCATGGTTCCTTGAAGCTTCAAGCTTAGCAAAAATGGTTGATTAGACTAGGAATGGTTGCACCATTTCCAATGGTGAAAGATAAACAAGAAATGATGTTCTAGCTACAAGAAAGATTTCTTGATAAAAAAACTTAAGGAGAAATTTCATATTATTAAATACAAAACTCTCGTATTGTTAAATCTATCGCACATAATAAAAGACTCATTGATAGGAAAGGTTTTGAAGACTTGTTATTTTCGACAAGTTGCGAAATGAACCATCATAGTGTATTTGAATTAAGTTTGAATTCTCGCAAAATCAATTTTAAAACCATGTTGAAGCAACAAATAGTTGCTTCAACTTTTTAAATTTTTCACCATATGTTAAGAGTCATAATTTATTTTTAAAAGTTGACGACCGGGGAAGGTTGAACAAGATAAATCGATACGTTATTAAGTTGGAGTCATATATTTTTAAGGAGATTTTAACTAATCATATTTGTAACAATGCAACTCCTAAAAATTCTGATGGGCCTTTACAGTCATATCATTTAATTGCAACATATTAAAGAACGCGGATGCAAATAATAAGTTAGACCATGTTGATACGATTTTGTTTATAAGTGGAAACAAATCGATGAATGGATTTTCATCTCATCCGGCAGAGCAGGGAATTACATTAGTCTTAAAAATAGTTTCTAAATCAGATAAAATATCCAGAAGCAATCAAAGCGGAGAGGTCACAACTTTTTTCTTGAATCTTTTGTTGAAGTTGACTTGTTGTTAGGTATGGCAACGGGGCGGGGCGGGGTTTACGTTCTCCGCCTCCACCCCCGCCTCCACCCTCGTCCCTGCAAATTTAAACCGTCCTGTCCCCGCCTTCGATACCTGTCGCGACAAAATCTGGGTCGCCATTTTCGATCCCGGCGGGGTTCGGGTTTCCCCGCCCCCGCCCCCGCCCTCGCCCTCCTCTTATTTTTTTTCTTCTTTTTTCTTTTAAATAAATATGAACAATTTAAAAAAAAATAAAAGAAAAGTAAAATAATATAAATTTTTACATATAAATATTTATAATTTTGGTTTATATATATATAAAAATAATTTTTTAATTA